AAAATTTTATTTCCGTTAGGTACCTAAAGAGTATTTATTTCTGTCTTATTTATTCAAATTTACAATATATAATATCAATTTATGGAAGTACAAATATTTCACTCTTGAAACCACTCATGAAATTAAAAAATAAAACTGAAGTACATTTTCGAATTGCATTTTTTAGAACCAACTGTAAATCTATACAAACCTAAAGACTTGCTGAATCTAGTTTCATTATATAAATTAAAAATTTGTTATTTCATCCCTTGAATTTGAAAATATCAAATTTGGATTTTAATGAAGTTAATACGATTCACGCCCATGAAATAAGGCAATTAAGTTTATTGGTAAGAAATAATTATAAGTCAAATTTTGGTAAACAATCAATATTCCATAGTGGAATAACTCGATATAATTCCTTACCTAATGAGCTGAAAAATATAAAAGGAAGTTTCGAAATCAATTTGAAGAAATATCTGCTATTTTCTTTTGATTCCATCATTCACGATTTGATTATAATAATTGAAATGGATAACGTTTTAATTCTATGTTTTTTTTTTCATATAATTTTTTTATGAAAAACTAGTTTGTCGTCGACCTCTACTAAACATCATATTTTACGTTTTAATTTCCGAACGAAAGACCGAAGGCAAGTACTTTTTGTCCGCAAACAGTATATTCTAATTTGCATATTTTATAACCTACGGAACAATATTTTCACATTTATTTTTATGATTACCTATATTATTATCAATCTTTAGTCAATCACCTGCACTTATGAATTGCATGATATTTCGACACGCTCTGTTTAAATTAATTTCACAAAATAAGTAATAAATTCACATATAGGTACTAATGATATGTATAAACCAAAAAAGTACAATACTTTATCTGATTCAGATCAAATTCAATTTTTTATATATACCTCTGTTATTACAGTTTGTTTCTCACGTATAATTTCTTTATTTTTGTATTTTTTTGTTCATGTTTACTATTTGTTTCTCTTTTTTATATACTCAAATCTTATATTCACCTATGTAACTGTATTTTGTGATATTTGTGAGTATTTTTAAATTGTTTCTATTTTGTTGGAAATAGGTTTCTTCTCTGTTTACTAAAAGAACGTAATGTTGTGACGTTATAGGTTTATTTCATTATCCTTTCTATAGCATAAAATAGATCTGAATTTTTGACAAGATATTTACTGATGAAATAAAATCGAACTGGCAACTTTGGTCCGCGCTCATAGTGAGTTGCCAACAACTGTCATTTGATGAAATCCGATAGATTTCACCTGTGAACTGAACCGTGATGTGGATATTAGTGTTTGAGGTCGACAAAAAAATTGAATATGCACCTCGGCGAAAAACTGTCTATTGTCTCGCCTGATCGCTAGCCTTGGCTATTAATTTGCAGACTCGACTATAATACACAGTTTTTCGCCCTTGGTACATACATAACTATTATTGTGCAATTATTATTGTTCTGATTAATAACGTTATATGTATTATAAACAATAATATATATATATAATAATAATGTTTCCTGGGGTAATGAAGACAATCAATCAATCAAAATATTATAAGATTCATGTTTACCAATCAAGACTAGAAATTTAAAATAGGACAAATCATTGTATACTTGAAATGCAATAAATAAGAATTGAGGTTCAAGTTCCGTGAGATATATACTAGAATAATAAATTATCGAAGATTTTCATGCACTAGTCTAATTACTCAAACCAATATTGCAAAATAAAGTCAACATTCATTCAGAAATGTTTGCAGCAGACTTCACTCGGATTCCCAGGAAAGAGAGCCGCCAGATATTTCTTCTGTTCAAATTTGGAATGACCGAAATTATCTTCCGCCATTGCTCTATTAGACGCATTCTGTTTGACCTTGGGATGAATAAGGCTCTTGTTCTCGAATTAACACCGATTCTCTGCAGTTATTCACCATCTCGTACAAATCTGGTATTTTTACATTCTGCTGGTGAATAGTTGAATTCCACAACTATAATAGGTCTTTCGCACTGGTATCAGTCATTTCCAGACTGATGGAGAAAGCCTTCAACATTGAGCTATCAAACATCTGGAAAGCTCAGGAATCATGAGTGATCGACAATATGACTTTCGCTATCGGAGATCAACTGATGATTTACTTGCCTACGTTACGGATAAATGTCAAGCTTCATTGTGTCGTTGAATATATCGAAAGCATTCGACCGGATTTGGCACCAAAGGCCTGTTCACAAATCCCTATAATATGGGTAACCACCTCAGCTATGTCCTTCTATCGAGTTTTCTTTCAGACAGATTGCTCCTTGTGACTATCGTCTGACACCATACATGGCCATCAATTCCGGTGTCCCACAAGGAACCCCTTTCATCGCCAACATGGTTCCTAGTCCATATCAATGATATATTAGAAGTAACCTATTGCCCTATCCACAGTTTTGCTGATGACAGTACTCTCCATACTGCGTTCTTTACAGAACAGTTCATCCTAGAAAACTAGGAACTCACGACAAAGTTAAGTCAACGGTGTTAATGAAGATTTTGCTAAAATTTCATAAAAAATCTGAAATGAGTATGCCAGATATTTGATATAACAATGTCTGGTACCACTATTCCCACAAAGTCCACAATATCTATATTCGATAGTCATTAACACTTTCATGTTGTCTATCCGTCACAAAAGCTGCTCTCATTTCATGCAGTCTTTACACCTGAACAGCTTTGTTGGTGATGCCACTCCTCCTGTCTGCAACGGAAATTTTGGCTATTCCATCATAAGCATTAGCAGTCAGACAGACGAGACAAGCTCAGTGAGCATATCTTTTAAAGTCAATCTAGAGCTATTTCAAACAACTCTCTACCAAAACTCATGTATCTATACAGGGTGTTCCTCAAAGATATGCTGATATTTGAGGGGGTGATTCTTTGACTTATTTGAAGAAGACTACTCCATATGAACGTATGTCCTTAAAGTCTTTTGAGATACAGGGTGATGAAGTATTGGAAAATATTCAGTTTTTTTATAATAGCAGACAATATTGTATACATCTTCATTAAATTTGGTACACGTCTTTAATGCATCAAGGTGCGTTTTCTGATGTACAGGGTGATTCAAACTTCCCGTCCTTCGCTCATAGCAGGAAAAAAACTGCAAATGCAAATTCGGCAGAGGTGAAAAGCTGTGTGAAAGGTATATTTTTTCGTATTTAAACATGGCGGAAATGACGTCAGAAAAGTTATTTTTTCCACAAAGTCGCCATTTTTTTCTCATATTTTTTTCTCATATTTTTTTAAACATCTTTCATCACATTTTTTTTTTATCTTCATCAAGTTGATAGCTGTGGGACTCCAAAGTTGGCCTTCTTGAAATAAACATCAAATGACCCCGCCGTACTAAGAATCAAGTCTGTCAGAAAAAAATTTTTTTTATAAGCAATTTCATACATTTTGCATTTATTTGAAACCGATTGAAGCTAAAAACCGGCCGACTTGATTTTTTTTACGCCGGGGTCAGGTGAGATTTATTGAAAAATGATAACTTTAGAGTCCTATAGCTACCAACCAAATGAAGATAGAAAAAATTCCTGGATGAAAGTCGTTTAAAAAAATCTGTTCTTTCAGAACATGAGAAAAAAAATGTGACTGAGAAAATAATTTTAAAATAATTCTTGACCCCGCCGTAATAATAATCGAGCCGGCCGGTTTTTAGCTTCAATCGGTTTCAAATGAATGCAAAATGTATCAAATTTATCAAAACAATTTGATTTTTATTATTACGGCGGCGTCATTTGAGGTTTATTTGAAAATGCCAACTACAACAAACAAGTTTTGGGATGAAAGATGTTGAAAATGATATGTTCTTTCAGAATATGAGAAGAAAATGGCGACTTTTTGGAAAAAATAACTTTTCTGACGTCATTTCCGGCATTTTGAAAAGAGTTGAAATATGTTTAAATACGAAAAAATATACCTTAGACATAGCTATTCAAATTCCCTCTGCCAAATTTGCATTTGCAGTTTTATTTTCATCATTTTCTCTACCAGTGGCACCGTTACGGGAATATTTTTCTTTATATTTTGCTTGAAAGTAACGACGGAAAATTTTCAAATTTCGTACAATGTTATGGAAGGCTATTCAATTATGTACAAAAAATACCCTCTTGTTGATACTGGATAGAACGCTTCGTTTTAGAGGGAAAAAAACAGACTCCAAATTCTGATTCCTGAGTACTCCATTCCACACCTCCATTATTGGATAACCACAGTATGTAACATTTTGAAATTTTCATACCGATTCAGTCACATAGCAGACTAAATTTTGCCATCACGAAAAAATACAGGGTGGACAAAAAAATTGCATATTTCCAATATTGACAACCTGTATCTCAAAAGTTAGGACGTTCACGAAATAAGTTCATTTGAAGTTTATTTGTTGAAATGTTTCGAATAATCGGCCCCTTGAATTTTTTTTATGTTCTGTATGTATAACGGCAAACCTTCGAAGAGTAGTTTATAATTCCAAAAATTAAAAATAATCCAAAACAACCTTTCCTCCCTAATGAGTCCTTTTCTTGCGATCCAAAAGGTATTGAAAAAAAATTATGTTGACGTATAAAATGTGATTTTTTGAATTCTCGTTTTCACATGGAGTACTGCGAGATATTTGTCAAATAATATCAATCAATAATGTTGCCTGACCACTTCATTTCACATATTTATTTGTTCATTTGTTACTCATTGATTGATTTATTTATTCATTGAAAAAAATTCACACTCATAGAAATTTAGGCCCAATTTATAGTTCACAAGAATGTTACTATATTTTTGTATGAAAAAATATTTATTTAACACTATGTTTACCACCAATGATTAGAAACATGGATCCAATTACTGATCTTATTATCCTGATTACAACTTTTAATGAGGAACTACATTGAAAATAGAACATACAGAAGGATAAAAACCTATTGCTATACCATGGTTTTCTTTTTAAGGCATCATGGTGGCAGTTGAAAAAATAACAGAAACCCTAAAAACACTTTCCAAACCCGTCACCACACCCGAAGAAATCTGCCAAGTAGCCACTATTTCTGCCAATGGAGATGTCTCTGTTGGTAACCTAATTTCAGATGCTATGAAGAGAGTCGGAAAGGAAGGGGTTATCACAGTTAAAGATGGGAAGACCTTGAATGACGAACTGGAAATCATTGAAGGAATGAAATTCGATCGTGGTTACATTTCTCCATATTTTGTCAACACCACGAAAGGTATGTTTTATTAATTCCTTGCATATACCGGGTGACCCGGGACCAATTTACCTAGTATCCGGTTTGACCGGGAGTGCAATCATTTTTTTTATTTCTAATACAAAGTATACATATATTTAAAAAATAAGGCTCAGTATGTAGTCTAAGATCCGAACCTAAATCGACCTTCACCGAGCTGATAATAGAACGAAATATATTTTATCATGAATTTAGTATATTAGAAAACATATTAAAAATGGGTTCGCTAAAAAAATCCTGGGCAGACTATTTTCAATTATTTTTCGAAAAATGATTTTTAATTAAATGTTGCATCATCAGGATAATAAAAATTTTTTGTCCTGACTGAAAGTATAAAACGTATAGAATGTGCAGCCGTTGGGTTGTCTACTATTTACCTGGGCGAACTACTGGGTTGTCAGGTAAACACAGGTATATCGATGCCAGTTACTTTCACTGGATTGGATAATTAAAAAAAAACATTATATCATCATAAGCGCTGTTTAATTGCGAACACGTTGATATAGGGTTGTCTGCGAAAATTCCGGTCCTATTAGGGGTTTGCGAATTTTAAAGATTTTAATTTCAACGCGCGTGGAAGTGTGTGACAGAGAGATCCGAGGTAAGTATACTGTGTAATAATAAAGGACCCAACATCGCAGTCGCTTGTGATAGGACCCTGAATAGTAGAAAGTGTGCGAAGTGTGCGAAGTCAAATCCTGAAAACTATGGTTGGCATTTTGATGATTTCTTAAAACCAACAGGTTTTATCGGAGATCAAACTCCTTTGAAAATCCAGGACCTTGTCGAAATGGAAGCAAATGAGGAAGAATCTAATGAATCAGACGAATTCGAGAGTCAAAATGATACTTCTGATGAATCAGATATTGAATAGAAAATATTTATTAGAATTTATTTTTCATTAATATTATTTTTGTATTTATACTGTTTTTTAATAAAATTTTTAATCATAATTGTTATTTCTTAATTTAAATTTTTGGCGGTCCACTTTGTTTCTTGTTTTGTAACTATATCTTTGTGTGTAATGTTTGATATTATTTCATAATAAAAGTCGTTATTACTTGATAACTTTATTAATACTTCTTCTGGTTATTACAAGCGTGCTTCCCTTCTCGTGTTGCCGTGAGGGAGTGTCGAGATGGCGGACGGAAGTCATCATTAAAGTAATACCATAACGACAACCGTCAACAATGTCATGTCATTTGTCACTTTTCATTATGGTATGTATACATGACGAAAGCCTAAAGGTAGATACACAAATACATAACGTTTAAATGCCTAAAGCCTTAAGGTAGATACACAAATACATAACAATTTCCAGAAAGAGCAAAAAAATTTCAAAGTAAGTAATTGATATTTTTCTTGTCTATTATAGATTATAGATATATTATTATGGTTATAACGCAATATATTGATATTATATTGTTTTTATATATTAGTATTATATTAAATATATTTAATTATTATGTAATTAATTAATTATTTTTTTTTGCTACTGAAATATCAGTTGCTCCAAAATAACACGCACTGTTTACTATATGAAGGGTAGGGTAGTAGAGGTACCTCTACCCTCCATAGTTTACACACCGAGCATGCGCACTTTCTACTATTCAGGGTCCCATCACAAGCGACTGCGATGTTGGGTCCTTTATTATTACACAGTATTCTTACCTCGGATCTCTCTGTCACACACTTCCACGCGCGTTGAAATTAAAATCTTTAAAATTCGCAATCCCCTAATAGGACCGGAATTTTCGTTGACAACCCTATATCAACGTGTTCGCAATTAAACAGCGCTTATGATATAAATTTTTTTTTAATAATCCAATCCAGTGAAAGTAACTGGCATCGATATACCTGTGTTTACCTGACAACCCAGTAGTTCGCCCAGGTAAATAGTAGACAACCCAACGGCTGCACATTCTATACGTTTTATACTTTCAGTCAGGACAAAATTTTTTTATTATCCTGATGTTGCAACATTTAATTAAAAATCATTTTTCGAAAAATAATTAAAAATAGTCTGCCCAGGATTTTTTTAGCGAACCCATTTTTAATATGTTTTCTAATATACTAAATTCAAGATAAAATATATTTCGTTCTATTATCAGCTCGGTGAAGGTCGATTTAGGTTCGGATCTTCTACTAATGAAATTATCTTTCCAACGATATATTACAATTATACTTTCAATCTATAATCTCATATAATCGAGATTTTATAACAAATTACTTATGTTCCCCTCGTAATATTTTGTAGGAAAATGATCAAATTGAATATTTTTTTGCGTCAGGTTTTGCAGTTTCAATAATAATTCTAAAACCATATAATAAATTCAATGAAGTTCGAAGGTTTTATACAATGTAGGTAGGTATAGTAGGTATAGGAGATTATCTCTTCATTAAAACTAAATAGGAAACAGAAAAAAATTTCCTGTCTTGTATAATAATAATAATAATATTATTTATTAAGTAGCTAAGCCAAATAATAAACGTCCTTTGAGTAACAAGTATATTGATTATGAACGCAGAGGAGCGAGTGTTTAATAAACGAGTGTCTAGAAGAGTTTATAAACGCGTTACATACTATACTTTTTCTACGAACTCATAATTTCTCTCTTCAACAAGATCCTATAATTCCGGAAAATAGATTAATAAATCGAAGGGAATGGGAATTGAGAACATGATACATAATACTATGCAACTGCATGTAACCAACCAAGTTTTCGATTTTTCAGATTTGTATTCATATTCTGATGTGCGTTTTAGGGAAGTAGATAACTTCGCATAATTTTTGCTCAAATAAATATTGTTTTACGTTTATTGTCATGCTTAGCATGCACTGTCTAGTCAGTAGGCTTAGTGGTGCCGGGCAGGAGCTTCCAAGCGTGCCCGTGAATTGAGTTCTGTGAAATAGAAGTAACACTTTCTGATACCGACTATTCTGAAATGCTATTTATACTTCCTGAAATTTATTATATCTGAATTAGAATTAGTGCTTTCTGAAATACCACTGTAAAAATGTTGGCTGACATAATATCTTTTCAAGGATTTCTAGATAATATTTTCATGAATGCTTTAAAAAATATTATCAAAGCATCAGATTGTTAGTATTTTTGGAACCTAGCTATATTATGATATTTGATGGGACATCAGTGAACTGTTTATCAAATGTACTCATAATAACTTGTCCTCTTACAGGAGCTAAGGTGGAATATCAAGATGCCCTTTTGCTTCTCAGTGAGAAGAAAATCTCATCTGTACAGAGCATCGTACCAGCGTTAGAATTAGCTAATGCTCAAAGGAAACCTCTGATTATCATTGCCGAAGATGTTGATGGTGAAGCCCTAACTACACTTGTAGTCAATAGGTTGGTAAATTTCAATGATATGTTCTCTACTATTACTAATATGTTTCAAGTCAATACTTGCTTTGCAAACAAAATATAATTTCGATTATTGGTACTAGATATCCATCTATTATGCACTGTTGGTGAAAAACATTCAACAAGTTTTCATTACACACATTTTCTAGTTATACACGATGGAACACTTTTTGATCAAATGAGAGACCCCATTATTGTACAAGGGTACACAGTTCTTGATACATTTATAATAATATTGACCCTAACATTCCATTTTACTTAGATAGATAGATTCATTCGAACTAAGTTAACATGAACAAAAAAATACATTGTGATCAAAAAGTACTATAGTCACTCAGATATAGTTTTTATTTTGAAATTTTATCATTTCTCATTGGGATTCCTTCTGCAATAGGAGCTAATAGAAATACTCTGAAGTTTCTAGAAGAAGGCAAGAAGATTGGATTCATGCTATCAAACGGGAGGACTCGTCTGACATGCTGACGAAATATGATCGTGTGCGTTGTAGACATTTTCACTCTATTAGCGTTATTAGCTTCTATTGCAGAAGTGGCAGGAGAAATTCTAATGAGAACTGACAATATTTCATAATGAGAACTGTGAGATCACTATTTACCTGAAAAATCATATTCATTCGTCTCTAGCTGCATTTTTTGTGCATTGTACAACAGCACAATATGATGGCCGTATGTGAAAATATTGTGGAAAAATATTTCAATCCTTTGATTCCTATGTGAACAAATAAAAAATTTGAGGTTGTGTTTCAATGTTTTACAGAAAAGTGAGAATGTGTTTCAATGATTTACCTCCAGGGTCGGTCATCATGCACGCGACCTTTAAGAATAGAGGTTATGATTCACCTGTAGTCTGTGTTTATTCCGAAGGCACAAAACAGCATTGATACATCCTTTAATAACGATTTTGATTGAAGTTTCATAAGCTACTAAACAATTGAAGATGTACAGATAAACAGCATCGTTCTATTCGAATGTTTCATTTTTGTTTGCCAGTCCAGCTGTGATATCTAGTTCCGAGAATGTTATACTGCAGTTTCTGAGGGAGCCATTGACTTGTTTTGCTCACTCAAAGATCCCAGCATTTAAAATGGCATACAATATTTTAGTTTGAAGGAATTACATAGTGTGTTGCAAGTGATAGAATTAGAATTATAAAATGTGATGAAATATACTTGATGAGATGAACCAAGTATGATAGATCTAGAGCCTTCAACATCTCATTTTACGCCCTCTGAAGAGTGATGACACGCTTGTCACCACTGACATTTCCGAATTGTCATCTCAGCTTTAAAACGTCAGCAGTTTAAGAACTCCCCTAAATCCCGCCTTCCACTACACGCTTTTAGTTCTCCGATTAGAAATCGTGGACAAAAGGATGGGGTCCGCTTGGGTGTAGTTGTATTGAAAAAACCCAGGGTCTCGAATCATTACTTGTTACCATTCGGCGTATGTCGCAAGATACTGTGATTGAAAAAATAATTTGAGTGCGTACTTTGAAGGGTGTAGAGTATGCGTGTATCATACATTATTATTCGGCTATGATTTTATATTATTGTAGTGTTAAGATCCAATTTTCGTTAACAATATTATTACTGTTTGGCCATAGTTTTTTATGATAATTTGTAGTATGTTAGATTTCATTATATCATTATGTAACCCCCGTATAAAATAACAATCAGTTATATGTAGCTGGTAAAGAAAAAATCAATTCGTTGTCATTGAAAATTTTCAATACGACGAAATGAACGACTAATGGAATTTACTAATCATTTCATTTGGGGTTACATAATTACAACTATCATACTATAAATTATCATGAACGGTAATAGTAAGAGAGCCGGCAGCATATTTCGACCAACATCTGATAACGAAATGTTATATGTTCCATAGGCATGTTTTTTATGAATGGCACCTGTGCCAATAGCTCCTGAGCAAATTGATTGAAAAATCGCACTTTCATGAGCGGTACTGTGCACTCGATCTCGCGATTTGATAATCAGAAGGCAGATCCATGGCATAGAGATTTATTTGCTGACATTATTTCAGACATACTTCCGTCATGTGATAACTAGTTGAAACAAAAAGCAAATGAAAGTGGATAATGTTCCCTGTGCGAATATCCAAACGTACCGCGATTCAAACTGATTCAAGTTTGTGACAGAACGTCAATATTTCCGAGAATATTTCACCTCTAAAGATAATATCCGATATACCAGTGTGAAACTACATGTGGATTTGTTTACTCGTAGTGCGAGCACCACATGTGTATTACACTGGTCCATCGGATATTATCCTGGAGAGAAGCGAAATTTTCTTGGAAATATTGACACCTTGCCACTGGCCAATAAATAACTGCGCTATGGTTTGAGGCGTCTTTTGTCAGTAAGCCTGTATACTAATAATAATAACTTGTTTTCGTTCACACCGTCATAATTAATACATGTTCATAACAAAAATTCCTCAGTTATAATAAATATCATGTTTGAGATCCATGATTCATGTTTTTGAAGTTAGAGATTTTGTTGATCACACCATGCATAACCGCAGTGTCCATTGGACACACAGTATGCTGATGTGTGCTAAAAAGTTTAATAATAGACCATTTTACGCAGAATGTGGCTCAAGTTAAAACTTATTCGGGATATCAAATTATATATTCTTTCATTGGCAACACTAACAAAATATCATGCACAAAATCTGAAAATGGAATGTCATTCTTACGGTGCACGTCAAATTGAAAAATTAAAACTGATATCTGGTTTTGATTAGGTACTTTCATCGAGATTAAAACCATTGATCGATTATAAATATCAGATTTCTACTAGAGGAAATATAAAGTTCTTGCTTATCTGTCCAAATTTGATCAAAAGTTCGAAATTTCAAATTTGAATTTGAACCGACATTTTCTTGACACGACAGCACTGAACACGAAAGAATTTGAACATTTTGTAAAATGACAGAATCGTAAATGTTGCCAACGAAGAAAAAACAAATAATGATATCCAATACATCAAAAGCAGTGCTCACAGAGTAAAATGGTATTTTGTGTCAATCTCAAAGACCTATTTAAACGCTCTTGGTACACCGTTATCTATTTCAGACTTCGCATTGGTTTACAAGTAGCTGCTGTGAAAGCGCCAGGTTTTGGAGACAACAGAAAATCCACTCTCCATGACATGGCTATTGCTACTGGAGGTATCGTATTTGGTGATGATGCCAATATTGTTAAGCTTGAAGATATCAAGCTATCGGACTTGGGACAGATTGGTGAAATAGCCATCACAAAAGATGATACTCTTCTACTGAAAGGAAAAGGCAAAAAAGAAGACATTGACAGGTAATTGTTTTTCAAGTTTATCTAATTGATTCCCACCCAATATTTTCAATTAATCCTGAAATGGGAGATTTCCTGTAAAAGTAAATACTTTATGTACAAACAATTTGGGTTACAGTAGAAGTACTGATGCACAATCGAAGTCAAATATTTATTAACAATTGGGTCTGGCCATTTATTCATCAGGACGTTGATGAACGTAATCAACTCACATTCAGATCTTCATAAAATTTTCTTGCAAAATCTGATGAACTTGCAAAGAATTATCTACGCTGCCGCAGATGAAATCTTGATTACCCATCATGTATCTCTGTTATATTTTGTGCTGGTTGACTGGCTTGTAAAAAACCTATTTATTTATTTATTCATTTATTTATTTATTTATTTATTTATTTATGTATTTATTTATTTATTTATTTATTTATTTATTTATTTATTTATTTATTTATTTATTTATTTATTTATTTATTTATTTATTTATTTATTTATTTATTTATTTATTTATTCATCCATTTATTGAATCAAGTAAAATCTACATTTAATTCAATTCCCAACCTGCATAAGATTCCATAGGCTAGGTTTTAGTGGTGATCCTACAAGGAAAACCTTCCTGTACACCCCATCACTGATACCATGCAACTATCACTTAAACGCCATAACCTCTAGACATGTTAGAGATTGAAAAACTACATCAAAAAAGTAATACCAGGCAGTCCTAGGATTCAATACTTGCTATAGATTCCAAAACTGCCCTAAGTCTACTAGATTGTAGAAAGTTTTTCGCGAATAATATGAATGCGGCTAACTTCTGTATCGTTAGGTAAGTAGTTAGGTTATGCACGTCAATTCCAGCTACATATGAATTAGACTATTTTTCGTTGAAAGAATATTAAAATAATGAAACGATTTCGGAATATCCTCTGCAGAAAACATCCTCATACTACCGATTTATTATGGATACCCAAAACTACCACTAACTTCAAACGCTATCCATAAGGTAGGAGTGATAATTAGTTTATGGAATATTTTTTCGGCGTAGAAATCAATAGGAATTATTGTTAGTCCCTTCAGATTATTTTGCTCCATGAGTATTTCACTTGTTAGTGAAACATGTAGTGCTTTTAAGAATTTTATGGACATCTTACCGTTTTTTCAAATCTATTCATACATACCGATGTTCTTAGTGTACCTACACAATGTCAGTGATACATACAGAGTGGGCCGTTGAAAACGAAACAGAGGCTCTGTAGGTCGCCAAAACCGGATTATAAAAAAAATCTGAAACACGTCAACTATATTTTCGAGGGGGACATCGTTCTAAAATATTTTCAGCCCTGCGGCGTTGCCGCTTCTAGAGAAAAGAAGCAACAACTTTGTTATTTCAAATGGAACACCATGTATTTTATTGTATTTTTAGATTCTCCCCGAAGAGCTGATTTCATCAATGTATCACACTTGGGGTCCAGCTGTAATGGTTTCAGGGATATAAAGTGTTCAAAATCGAGATTTTTTAACTTTAGCATTTTTTTGTGTCGAAACTATTCATTATTGGTCAAAACGGCTTTCATGTCCCTATCTCAACTTGTGATTTACTATCTACTAACATTTAATTGGAACAGATACAGGGTGATCAGAATTCTGAATCTTGAACCACCCTGTATTTGTTTGATGAAATCAGCTCTTCGGGGAGAATCTAAAAATACAATAAAATACATGGTGTTCCATTTGAAATAACAAAGTTGTTGCTTCTTTTCTCTAGAAGCGGCAACGCCGCAGGGCTGAAAATATTTTAGAACGATGTCCCCCTCGAAAATATAGTTGACGTGTTTCAGATTTTTTTTATAATCCGGTTTTGGCGACCTACAGAGCCTCTGTTTCGTTTTCAACGGCCCACTCTATATATATACAAAATCGAAATTTTGAGAATTGAAGAATATATATACAGTGTGTCTCACTCTAACCAAGTGGTGTCATATTCAGTTTTTGTCTTAGTTTTCATGGAAGCACCCCCGTATCTTACGTAATTATTTAGGTATGGTTCTGAAATTTGTTGGAGAAATGGAGGGGCTAAAGATCACGTCAATCACGTAAAATACGGGGGTACTTCCATTAGAAGTGGGGCATAGTTTAATTTTTCAGAACTGAAAAATGTTCAGGAAAAATTAAAAAAAAAAACAGTGAACTGAACTTCCGGATTACGAATCCTCGCTTCCTAATATCATTTTCCGGAAATGTGGGTGGTTCCATGGCTGTTGGCGTCCAGTGTATTCTACTGAAGATGACTTCACTGGGTTAAAGTGTGTATCTTCAGTCTCTCGCTCCTGCAAATTTCAGAATACTAACTCAACAATTATCCAAGATACAGGGGTGTTTCCATTAGAAGTGAGACACTGTATATGTATAATTCAACGCCCAATATCTCAATAATGAACCGTTTTAGGGCATATGTTTATAGGAAGATATTCTATTATTTCATCGAATTCTATCAATATCTCGAGTTTTGGTCATTAACATTTTTTATCGCTGTCTGCCATGGTGTTGTCCTCCACTTTTTGGTCTGCTATTCAGCTCAAAAGCAAGTTAATATATGATCAATATGTACACCTAATTTCAAGACTTCATCCTATCACGTTGATTTTTCGATTTTTTTTCGCAACTTTGACGCGGTCTGCCAGCACTTTAGCCCCCGGAAAACGGTCTGCCAATTATCAAACTATCTTTCTGACGTCACATACTATATGTACACGAAATTTCATGACTGTACTAATGACGTTGATTAACTTCGAAACTCGAGCCTTAGTGTTCCACATCATAAATGGAACCATTCCAGCAGAAAATTGTGACTGTACCTAGTCACATTGAAACTCTCAGTCTAAAAGCAAAATAGATCATATTTCCAAACTAGGAATGCTTAGTATGTGTTTCAAACGTTTCAATTTAGAAATGAGACATCAAATTTTTTTCTAAGCGAAGTTAATTATTCCACCAGATCATTATCATCATTATGCATGTATGTATATCTGGCGTCTTATTGCTATGTCACCTCAGAAAAAATTGTATCGAAAAATTCAATTTTAATAGGCGTGCAGAACAGATCCGGGACCAAATCGACACCACAACATCCGAATACGAGAAAGAAAAACTCCAAGAAAGGTTGGCGAGATTAGCCTCGGGTGTAGCCGTGCTCAAAGTAGGTGGTAGCAGCGAGGTGGAGGTGAACGAGAAGAAGGACAGAGTGACTGATGCTCTGAACGCCACCAGGGCTGCAGTAGAAGAAGGTATCGTACCCGGAGGAGGTACTGCCCTATTGAGATGCAGCAACAGTTTGAATTCCATCAAGCCACCCAATAATGACCAAGCCATTGGTAAGTTCTATTTTTTCAACGACAAGAATTTTTTTCACTTAGATAAAGGCTTCTTGTATCTTCCGTCCTCTGCATCTTCAGGGAAGAGTACATCCATTTATATTTCATTTTTGGCTGAGACTATATGGCGTGTCCTGGAGTGAATAAGGGAACGATAAATTGAATAATGATCCAAATTGATCACACCAATCAATTTTTTCCTTTCGAAATATCGGGTTGAAATGATGTTCGAAAGTCGGCTTTTTTTCCCAGCGATGCTAATTCGTATTGCAATATTGATTAGTGTTATAACCAGAAGAACCTCGTGTAAATTTCATCAACGCTTGTTTCAAACTCTGCATCCCATCTATTAGGTATTATTAAATAATGTTTAGTGAATTTTTCATTCTCTTTTACTAGTGAATCTTGACATTTTTCAATATTTCTGCTCTGAATTTTTGATTATCAAGACTTCTGCATTTGAAATTTGTTGGAAATAAGTAAAATTTTCGGCAAGTATCCTATGATTTTTGTTTTGCATCGGTTTTTTCTTTTAGACATCCACTGTATTTATAAATTGTATGTTTTTCACTCAATAGAATTCTGTTGTTATTATTAAATTTTTCGGCCTCATATTTTTTTCTTGTTCTGTGACAGTATTCTATTGGATGAAAATTTCTATAAACGTATTCGATTCCCAGTATTTTTACAATTAACAAACAGCTTACAAATTCAAATTAACCACCAAACACATTTCAATTTGTAAAGTCAGCTCCCTAGACGCGAATTTTATTTGTGGTTATAGTCGACTGTCACTGCTTGTCAGAGTGTCCATACTCAATACATTGAGGAATCCAAGACAACTCAAGCATTTCTCATAATTCCTCATCCGTGTGAAATGAAAAATATCCGGCTAAAATTATATCTCGAAAACCAATTGAATTTTTAATAAACTGTAACTGTAACTCCAAAGGAATTTATTGAATAACAAATAACCCTGTATATTGTATGAGAGAACATTATAAGTTTTCATTCATATTGAAACAATAATACCTGTAAACTAGAGTCACTGGATGGAATTTTATGTACGAAGGTATATTTTATTTTCCTTGTGAATACGTACCTCTTCACCTCTCGAGAACGATGTCAATGTCATCACAGAAAACTTATTTTGACTTCGATCATTCATATTTCAGAAATATCAAGAGTACCGTAATATTAGATAATGAACCATTACAACTAAAACATAAATGTCCTGAATTACACAGGAATGCTTATTACAAGTTACCTATACGCCATGCGATAAAGTAGTCGGCGGGCGGTAAAGTGCACTTAACCCACGCAAAACCGGGCGGTAAAGTGCTACTTTACGCCCGGTCGTGCATAACTTCTTTTGTGAGGGATGAATATATTTTTTTCAGCTAACCTTCAAATATGAGCTAATTTATGTTAATAAATTTACGTGCATTCACAATTTTTTCTACTCACATATCTAAAATGGCATTTATCATACGGATATGTACCACGCTAAATGATCGATTAATCACGGATTGACGATCTGTGATTTATTCAAAATATTAAACACGTTACCATGGCAACACGATTTCTTAAACACATTACCATGGCAACACAGTTCATTAAACACAGCTTCAGCTATTCGAGACATGTCTGGCCTGTCAATTGCATTAACTGTCAACTGTTATTTTCAAATTTTGTATTAGAATTATTCAAACAATATTCGTTTGTATCAGAATTCTTCATTAAAAATATATGCGAAATGTAGACGAAAGTGAAATCGAAGAGAATATTCTGGTACTTGCATATCTCCAAGAAGTGTAAAAATGAAACATCCATCTTTGAGAACAATTCATTCATTCTGCGCTAAGCATGACAATGAACGTGAAACAAAGGTTAGTAGGCAATGGACTGGAAACATCTACAACCAATATCACTTATACGTGTCTCGCCGGTTGCATGCAGATTCATGTATTAAGTTCTCAATTCCCATTCCTTTCGAATTATTTTGTAGGTTAGCAGGAATAGCAGGTATGTTAATGAAATTTTCGGGGTTCGTAGAAAAATTATAATATGTAACGCGTTTATAAACTCTTCTAGACACTCGTTTATTAAACACTCGTTACTAAAACGACGTTTATAACACTTGTTACATAATATACTATTTCAATTATACAGGGTGTCCTCTAAAAGGAGGTCAATCCATTAAACATATTATATTCCTTGAACAAAAACAATATGAGTTTCTGGATACCATTTTTCATTTTAGCACTTCATATTCGATATACAGGGTGTCAAAGTTGGAAATTTAAAACTGTTGTTCTTCAATTACTCGCGTATTTAATGAGATATTATTCTCGAAATTGGTACATTACTTCAGCACAAAGAGTTACATCGTGTGAGAAAAACAAAACAGAAAATAACTGTCAAATATTCAAAATACTGGGGGTCAAGTACACACTTACCCACATATTTTTTTTGTACGTGCGCTAATGACTTCCTATCTATTTTTCTTCAAGTTTTCAATCATTTTTGAGTATTTTTTGTCTCTTGTAAAATTTCTATAAAATTATTTGTTTTTAAGATAATTCGAAAAGTACTGGTTATTGTTTGATGCCTATGCTGCTAACGGTAATCTCATAATATTCACATACTCCTACTTATTTCGTCTAAATTGGAAGATGTCGTAACTTTTCACGTACGAAAAGGTACATATGGAAATACCGGATGCTCAGAGCGAATGTAGTGAAATAATTGAAAAAAAATTGATAGAAATTCATCACGTTTAATTTAATTTCCAACTATGACACCCTGTATATCGAATATGAAGGGATAAAATGAAAAATTTCATTTAGAAACTCATATTGTTTTTGTTCAAGGAATATATGGTTAATGGATTGACCTCCTTTTAGCGGACACCCTGTATATTTTTTAAAAGGTAGAGAATGCTTTAAAGCCCTAGTTTGGCATTTCTTGAATTGATATTTATTAGGGGCTAATGCTCTATTATTTCCTATGTCTAAACTTGTTCATGGTAAAAGAGAGTACCTTCAATTCAGGATGTATATTTCATGTAGAGAAATCGAATATTATAGATCCATTTTATTGGAACTGATTTCTAGAATTACAATTTTAATATTATCACAGATTTGATAAGTCTCATTCGGCAATGAGTGACCTCATTTTTTTGATATTTGAAAGGAATTGTATTTTTCAACATTTTTCGATACAGGTGATCATTATACATACATATTTCCCCTATCAAAACTCCGAATATCAATTTCATTGGTCACACGTTTTTAACTTTTTTTTTTTTTTTTTTCATAATATTAAGTACTGTATTGAAAATGAAACTAAGAAGCCACCCAAATGAAATGGAATTAATGATGAACTCCCTAATAAAAAAAATTTGAAAAATGCAAAGCAAAACTGGACGTGACTCATTGAACAAAATGGCGTCAACAAATGTAAAATGTTACATATTTCAATGTGTAACAATTTCACAACTCTATCATGAACCTTGTGTGTCTTACTTTGCTGTATGTGCAAACATCTTTCCTAATTCCTAATGATTCTTCAATGATAAAGACATGCTTGCCTAATCAACATTGCACTGGTTTGAAGTCAATGTTTTTTTGGAACTAGATTGTGAGACATTTTCATTCCATTCCAAAACTCGTGGGCTATTTAACTGTGGCACCATTGAAGCAAATTTGGGATTTTCAGGTATTGAAATCGTGAAGAGGGCATTGAGAGTACCTTGCATGACCATTGCTAAAAATGCTGGAGTAGATGGAGCTTCTGTTGTTGCCAAAGTGGAACAACATGAAGGAGACTATGGATATGATGCCCTCAATAATGAATATGTCAACATGTTCGAGAGAGGCATTATTGACCCTACCAAAGTAAGTAAATCAAATCTGTTTTTATCATATTCAATAAAGATGCACAATCATTCAAGTTTGAGTTTGATGAATTCTAAATACAAGGAAACTTTTCATAAAGTTGACATATGTGTTTCAAAATATGAATTCAAACAAATGGAACAAAAAATGTACTCATAATAGTCATAAACTTCACAATTTTATTTTCAAGGACCTGTTTCCGACCTGTATCTTAAAAAATCTGAATACATGTCAAAAATAGGTAAACTGAGAATGTTTAGTCCGTGCTTTAAATTCGTCTCGGAACTACTCAATAATAGAATACTAAAACAACTATACTACTCTTTTATTTATTTTCATATGTCATATATCTTAAGTGAGTGGGGAAATGCTTTAAATGCCAGTGACAGAAAATCTTTGCAGATAGCACAGAATAAGGCAATAAAAGTATTATATTGCATAAATCCATTGGTAGCAACTGATACAGTATATAAGGAAACCGGGTCAGTAAATTTGGCTAAAGCTATTAAATTTGAATCATCGAAAACTATTCATGAAATAAATGCTAACTACATGAAAACTACAATCAAACTTATTCCTAATAACCAGTTTCAAAATTTCTCAACAAGAGCGACAAACAATTCACGGCCAAATAGATTCAAATATACCAGAACTCAAAGCTCAATAACTTGCAAAGCTGTTAATCATTATAATAACCTACCAACTAAACTGAGAAATAATGGTAGTATGAAATCGTTCAGAAAGCAGTTGTTTGATTTCATTCTGAATAATGACCTGATTTGACAATTTGTGTTGTAATAGGGATGTGTATTATTTCGTTACATATTTTATTAAAATAAAAAGGACATTCCGTTCAAAAAACATATCTATGACATAAGAAATAAAAATAACATAACATTGAAATATAAAACAAACAAGTCATTTGGACGTAGAAATTTTAAATTTTTAATTCCTCACCTATATAATAAAAGCCCAAATGATATTATAAAAACAAAATCACTACAATCCTATACAATAAAAATAAAAAACTGGATATTAAACCCCTAAAAATTATTTTATTTCTTTAACATTTAATAATATCATTAGATGAATTTTAATAATAATTGTGAATAAGTATGTATGAATATAAATAATTATGCGTATTGAATGAAATGCTCAGTACACTATATATTATGAATTGAATACTTGTCTCATTTCTTAATGAGACAATTTTCCCTTGTGATAATTTGATATTGTTAAATATTTATTGACCTATGTACATTTATTTATTTTTTATCCTTACTACAAGGTTAACTTCGTAAGGTTTTTCCCAGTTTATTCAAATTACCTATATGTTTATTCCAATGTATATTTTGTAAACGTCTTTGAATAAACTTATATTATTATTATTATTAATCATTCAATGTCTTAACAGTATGATACATCAATGGATTATGGGATCCTGTTGAAGCTCTCTTGTTTTGTGGATCTGATTATGTGTAATAAATTTAAAAAATACTGAAGAAATAGCATATATTTAGAACAATTGATTCATCTCAAAAATACTCCAATAGGTTTATGGTACTGAAATGACAAATTATCTAACTTTCTATGACATTTTGTAGTTATTCCAATATTAGTAGAAAAGTGGGATGATATGCTTGAGTCAGTCTGCTTAGGGAGTATGCTGCCATAACATTGGAAGACTGACAGGCCCGTTATGTTTCTCTGTTGTTCTCTGGCTTTTGAAGAGATCTTGCCATAGACAATATTTTCAAATATGCAAATATTATCCAAGAGTGAAATTGAGAATATGAGCTTTTATGAAGGCAATAGCTGATGCTCTGAAATGTTCATCATGTATCTTTTTCACTCTTCATTGCAAAAGATTTTCCTTGTAGAAATAGTAGATTGTTTTATTAGGATCAAAAGTGACACTTTGTTTGACAAGCGAATTTTGCGAGTCGAACAAAGTCACTTTTGATCCGAATGAAACATGCTATTTTTTCTGCAACCGAAACAACTCAAATAAACATGTGAAGTAACCACCAATGCCGTGCCATATGTATGCAATGCAACAAATATTGACAAATAATCCATGTGGTAAGAATATTCTACCTGCATTAACAGCAGGTTAGGTTTTCAAGGATGTTCGAATTGTAGTTTCAATATAAATACAACCACAAAGTGACATATTTGTGTATGGACCAGGTGCTCTAATGGCAAATACTGCGCCAGTGCCAGCTAATCAGCTATAGGAACAAGACATTGAAAATGTTAGGTTAGTGAGCATATCAACAATGATAATAGTAATTATTTATTCCTCTCCATACTACACTGTGTTTGACTTGATAATCAAATGAAGCTAAACAATATCGTTGTTTGAGACAGAAAACTATTGCTTGCCGTGATTATTCAAAAACAAGTTATCCATCCCGAGAATAACGAATGAAATACAGATCAAGCAAGTATTTGAATCTTGAAGGCTTCCCTGATCTAACAAAAATACTCAGCTGAGATGTTTATAATTCCAATACTAAACTATAATAAGGTGTATTTATATCTCCAGCATGGGTATGAAATGCCGAATCTGCTGAAATCGGAAACAAATAAGGTATGCGTCTCAATGAAAATTATAAATGTGGCTTCTTGTCCTTGGACCTATGTAAGGCATTTGACACAGTAGATCATACAATTTTACTAAATAAATTATATTCAATCGGCGTCAGAGGAAGAATTCATGATTGGTTCACACATTATTTGACAAATAGAAAGCAGTATGTTGAAGTGAATGATCTTTCTGGCTCACTAAAGAATATTACATGTGGAGTACCGCAAGGATCAGTTCTGGGACCAATTTTATTTTTAATTTATATCAATTCAATATCAACTCTGAAATTGAAAGGAAAGCTAAAATTATTTGCGGATGATACAACATTGATTTATATATCCAAAGAATTAAATGATATTGAACGGGATATTACAAGTGATTTGGAAAACATATCATCTTGGATGCAAATTCATAAGTTGACTCTTAATTATAACAAATCTTCATATATGTATATTTCTAAAAGATCAGTTAATATTTCGAATAATGCTATAACTTTCAACAATAGATTAATTAAATATACAGACGTGACAAAATTTTTAGGTCTCTATATCGACGAAAAATTATTATGGACTAAACATATAGACTATTTGAGAAATAAAATAAATCCGATCATAGGCATTTTATTCAAAATCCGAAATATTATTCCCATAAAATACTTGAAATGTATTTACTTTTGCCTCATTTATTCAAATTTGCAATATTTAATTTCTATTTGGGGGAGTACAAATATTTCACGTCTGAAACCACTAATGAAATTAACAAAACAAATCAATTAAGTGCATTTTTCATCTACATTTTCTAGAAATATTATTCCCATAAAATACTTGAAATGTATTTACTTTTGCCTCATTTATTCAAATTTGCAATATTTAATTTCTATTTGGGGGAGTACAAATATTTCACGTTTGAAACCTCTAATGAAATTACAAAACAAATCAATTAAGTGCATTTTTCATCTACATTTTCTGAACCTGATTTCGTTATATAAACTTAAAATATGTTGCTTTATTCATTTTGCCAGGAATAAGTTGAAAATATCAAATTTAGCTTTCAATGAAGTCAATACAGTCCATAATTATGGGACTAGACAATTGAATTACTTGATTGCAAATACATTCAAGTCAAACATTGGCAAACAATCTGTTTTTCACAATGGAATAATTTTATACAATTCATTACCGAATGAGTTAAAAAATATACATGATGCAAGAAGGTTTAAAATCAATCTTAAAAAATACTTGCTCAGGACAATTTGAAAGAAAAATATGTGGCATGATTTGATTACTTAGGAATGAAATATAACTTTAATCTTATAAGACACAATATTAATTCGTTTCCACTGAGTGGAATTCATTATTGTTAACCCTTTATTATTATTTTTTTTATATGTATTTATGTATCCCTATCATAAACAGAAATGTTTCTTGGGGTAATAAAGACAATCAATCAATCAAACCAACGATAAATTTATACAAACCAAGACATTTTCTGAACCTGATTTCGTTATATAAACTTGAAATATGTTGCTTTATTCATTTTGCCAGGAATAAGTTGAAAATATCAAATTTAGCTTTCAATGAAGTCAATACAGTCCATAATTATGGGACTAGACAATTGAATTACTTGATAGTAAATACATTCAAGTCAAACATTGGCAAACAATCTGTTTTTCACAATGGAATAATTTTATACAATTCATTACCGAATGAGTTGAAAAATATACATGATGCAAGAAGGTTTAAAATCAAGCTTAAAAAATACTTGCTCAGGACAATTTGAAAGAAAAATATGTGGCATGATTTGATTACTTAGGAATGAAATATAACTTTAATCTTATAAGACACAATATTAATTCGTTTCCACTGAGTGGAATTCATTATAGTTAACCCTTTATTATTATTTTTTTATATGTATTTATGTATCCCTATCATAAACAGAAATGTTTCTTGGGGTAATAAAGACAATCAATCAATCAATAATAATAACTAGAAAAGAGATTATTGGACATAGCCCTCACAAAGAAATAACCGTATACTCGTGTTTCGGGCTTTCGTCCCTCATCAGTACGGTGAAAGGAAGTGCAAAGGATGGGCAGCACTTGGTAGAAAACGAAACAACAAATAAACGGAGTCAACAAACAGAAGCCAGCCGCACATTTGTGGTTTCGGCCAGCAGACCCTGAGGTCTCAGGGAAACAGCTAACGTCACCACGGAGGCAGCTATAGCTACCTGCGTGACATCCGAGTCCATGAGTGAAAACAATAAAATGGAAGTGATATCGAGAGAACTGTAAAGTCACTAGAAAATAGATTATTGGACATAGCTCTCACAAAGAGATAACCGTATACACGTGTTTTTGGCTTTAGGCCCTCATCAGTACGGTGAAAGGAAATGCAAAGGATGGGCACTTGGTAGAAAACGAAACAACAAATAAACGCCTCCGTGGTGACGTTAGCTGTTTCCCTGAGACCTCAGGGTCTGCTGGCCGAAACCAAGAAATGTGCGACTGGCTTCTGTTTGTTGACTCCGTTTATTTGTTGTTTCGTTTTCTACCAAGTGCTGCCCATCCTTTGCACTTCCTTTCACCGTACTGATGAGGGCCGAAAGCCCGAAACATGTGTATACGGTTATCTCTTTGTGAGGGCTATGTCCAATAATCTCTTTTCTAGTCACTTCACAGTTCCCTCGATATCACTTTCATCTCAGTAATAATAACAATAATAGTACTTTATTAAACAACAATGTTCAAATGTCTATCGACCGTAGTCCTGCCACTGTTGCCAATATTATCAAGGGCTTTGTTAATTTAGATCTAGATGATGAAGTATGTTTCATTTCATTTCATTTCATTTATTCATTCCAAATATGGTCAAATTACATGACATGTGGACAAGTCACTAAAAACTAAAAACTACTACTAAATACTAATACTATAGGTAAAAAGGACACCAATTTATGAATACAAGATACATTATAGGTATATCCACAAATAAGATGAGTATAAACACGAGATAAATACATGAAAGAACAGTGCAACAACATTATTTTTAAAATTTTATATTAAAATATTCATCTACCGAATAAAGGGAGTACTGCAGTAGAAGAGTTTTTATTTTACTTTTGAAAATATAGAAATTTGATATATTCTTCAGATCATTTGGTAGATGGTTATATAATTTTAAAGGCATTACAATACAACTTTCTGCCGTTAAAGTAAGTCTATGAGGGGGTAATCTAATCGTCGACGTAGATCTTATATGGTGATTAACAATATCACCTGATACAGTGTACTTACAGATGTTTTTTTTCACAAAAGTTACACATTTGAGAATATATAATGATATGACTGTTAGAAAGCCTAGTTCCTTGAATAGGTTTTTGCAGGAGTCGGTTCGATTTTTGAAAGTTATTGTTCGCAATACTTTTTTTTGTACTATCAAGAGAGATTCAACTCTCTTTGAATTTCCCCATATGGTGATTGAGTAAGATAAACTAGAGTTGATATATGAATAGTAATACATCAGTAGAATATTTCGGTCTACAAATTGTCTCAATCTCCAAAGTACAAAGCAATGGGATGAGACTTTTTTGGCTAAGTGATCAATATGAGTATACCACTTTAAATGTGAGTCCATATGCACTCCAAGAAATTTTACAACATTTGATTGACAAACAGTAGAATTTTCAGATCTGACTAATAAACTGTAGTTGAAATTTGAGGCAGAAAACTGTAAAAGGTCAGTTTTCATCATGTTCAATACTAGGTGATTTTTTACACTGTAGTCATTGGTCGCTCTCACGTAATTAGTTGAAGCCTGGCTAAGGCTGCTGATAGTGCTGCCAGAAGCTACTACTGAGAGGTCATCAGCAAATAGAGAAGTTTGACCAACACTAAAACAATTAGGTAAATCATTAACGAAAATAATGAACAGTAAAGGTCCCAGGATACTTCCCTGAGGGACACCTGTCTCTATAAATTTAGTGGATGAGTAGTAATTGGCGTCATGAACCCTCAGCAGTACCCTCTGACTCCTGTTGGCTAGATATGACTTCAACCAGTTGTAGGGCTGTCCTCTGACCCCATAGGAATATAACTTGTTTAATAGTAATTCGTGGTTTACAAGATCGAACGCTCGAGAGAAGTCAAAGAACAACCCTGCAACCAGTTGTTTATTATCCAGTTTTGTGTACACTGTGTTCAGAAAGTGAGCGATCGCATCCTCTGTACTCATGTCTCTTCGAAAACCGAATTGAGAGTTATTGATAATGTTAAAAGAGGTTAGAAAGTTTGATAGGCGACTATGGAATAGTTTCTCATAGATTTTGGAGAAAACAGGCAAAATTGAGATGGGCCTATAGTTTGACATTACAGAAGCACTATTTTTTTTGTGTATAGGTACTACAAGAGCCATTTTTAATTTTGAAGGAAAAACTCCTTCCTTGAAAGATTCGTTCACCAGGTATGTTAGTATAGATACTAGGTCGGTTGCAACAATGGAGACCCATGAACAAGGGATCCCATCTTCACCTGCAGATCTTTTTTTTGTTACTAGTTTGACAGTATCTAAGAATTCACTCTCAGTGACCGGAGTCAAAAAGAATGATTCTTTAATAGAATTACTCATTGGACTATCCAGGCGTTTTTGTCCTGTTGATTTTGCCAGCTCATCTACTGATTTTATGAAATAATCATTGAAACCTACAGCGATATCTTCTGGTTCTGATACATTATTTCCTCTGTTATCTGTAAGAGACAAGGGATATCTTTTACGTCTAGCTTGAGATGTTTCATTCCTGATTATTTTCCAAGCAGACTTACTGAGGTTATTAGATTCTAGAAAAAAATTATTGTAATAATTCCGTTTCTTATTTCGAATTTCATTTTTATGAGTTCTCAGTTTTTCTTTATATTGGGAATGGAGTTCAGCACTTTCAGAAGACTTACATAATCTTGACAAGAAACGTAGATTATTACCCTGGTCTATGATTTCCTTATCAACCCAAGATTTTTCATTGAATTTATTTCTATTGCGTGCTTTGACAAGAGGAAAAGAGTTGTGCATTATATCTAGAAAAACACCCAGAAAGGAGTTGAATTTTGATTCAGCATTGGATTCTGCAAATATACTACTCCAAGTTTGCTCTTGAATTGAGCTCTTAAAGTTGTCAATATTTTGTTGGCTCAAGAAATTACGTCTGTAACATTCATTTGTACAATCATTCTGTAGATCAATGGAAAAACTCAAGATCTGCAGGTGATGATCAGAGATATTAGAATAGAGGGTTTCATTCCATGTGTCACTGTCTAAATTACTGAAAATATTATCGATGACCGTATGAGAGTCACCCTGTATGCGACTATAGCACTGAAAGTGTGAAGCCATTCCATATGAAAGTAGGATATTACGAGCACTATTTGCTTTGGTACAATTTACAACCATATCAAAGTTGAGATTAAAATCACCACATAAAATCATTGCCTTATTATCAGGATTGACCATTGGAATCACATTATCTAAGTGCTCAAGGAATATATCAGTATTTGCTGAAGGAGCTCTGTAAAGACAAGATACAATTATAGAAAAAGTCTCATTACAAATAGTTGTATGAGTGAACTCAAAATTATTATATGTGACTAAGTTTGACATTTCTTCAACTTTTTCAGTCTTGAAATTCAGCTGGTTATGAACAAAAATGGCAACACCACCACCTGAATTATCTTCTGTACGACAGAAATAGCTGGCTAGAGAATAGTTTTGAAGCTTAATGTTCTGTATTTCTTCATTTGTACACCATGTCTCTGTGATGCAAACAACTTGTGGTAGATGTAATGAGCATAGTAACAGGTAGAGCTCCTCTACCTTGTTACGTAAGCTCCTAACGTTGAAGTTGACGATTGACAGGTCATTTTTCTTCCAGGGATAGTCAAGGCCTATCCCATCTTCTTGCCTAAAAAATAGCTGACAAGAGCTCCTATAGGCCATATTTCCTGCTTCCATGCAATCTTCTCTTGGTCTTTGTTAATTGTGACAATCATAGAAGAGTATTTATCAGGGTGTTTAGAAACCATTTTTTCACATACAACATCGGTAAATATAGGTTCCAGAAGCTGTGTCAGTCCTTCGGTGGTTGAGTTGGGCTCCAGTCTCGTCACATGCAGCCGTATACGTTTTGCAATTGCATGTACAGGCAAGTCAGCGCCACTGTTGTTACCTACAAGAAATCGTCTCTTCCTTCTATTGTTATGTTTCACCTCTTTCCATTCACCATCCGTGACTTTAGTAGCATTCGCAGGCTCTTCCCTAGGATGCTCATTTAGCTGTCTGGAAGGTAACGGGACTATGTCATCCACGATATTTTGATACTTTTGTAAGGTGTTCAGGGCTTGTACATTCCTAATTACTGATTTAACCTCATTCTTGTCAAAATATGTGGCGCTAGGGTTGCCACTGTTGCCAGAGGCCTCAGAGCCATCCACCTTGCTAGTGGCAACACTGCTAGCTGCAGAACTCTCTGGTCGTGCGTGAGAGCAAGATTCCTGTTTTCCGTAACTAGAGTCGTTTCGCTTTTTATCAAATGTTACAGATTGCTTATCAGTTATTGTCTTATTTGTTCGGTTTGAAGCTCGAACATTACTATTTGCCACAGAGGTCGTACAGTTCACTGTAACCTGAGGCTTGGGTATTTGAGTGGTAGGTGGCAACATATGTTCACTTGCAGCAAGGTTGGTGGGACCACTTGCACTTGTACCAAGTAATTTTATGTGGCTATTTAGCAAGTTTATATTATCACATAACTGCTTTATAATCATATCCTTTTGTTTGATTACGTAGTTAAATATATTAATGTCTATTTTCTTATCGTCACATGAAAGTTCTTCAATCGCGTCAAAGAAAGCAACATCACAGTCACCTGATGCTTCCTCTTGAGATCCACAACAGATGATTTTTTCGTCATCAATCACTACAATTTTGTCTTTAAGGTTCTTCACACAACTGTTATGTGATACTGTATCACATTTAATACACTTGAGTCCCGATTGTGCCACAGTTTTACACCTTTTACACAATTTTTGTTGGGCACTAATAACACACGACTTGCTTGCACCCGCCATCTTGATGTTGATGGAACTGTATAATTAGTTCAAGAAATAGCAATGTGTGGGGAGTGTAAGACAAATTTCGTTGCAATAATTAATTGTTTGAATCCTTCCAGTTCTCGATTATCCGATGTTCCTAAGTCCAACGTCCATACCTATGTACAAAAATAATTATTTTATAATATTTATCTTATTCTAGGTTGTCAGAACTGCCATTGTCGATGCCTCTGGAGTAGCATCCCTCCTGACCACCGCAGAAGTAGTCATCACCGAAATCCCGAAAGAGGAGCCGCCAGTCCCAACAGGCATGGGCGGAATGGGGGGAATGGGAGGAATGGGTGGAATGATGTAAAATCTCTGTTACAAATCCAAATAGACTAATTTTTCAGTGCGGAAACTTTGTGCATCTACCAAAAAGTGTCTGTCAAGAAGTTCCATTATTATGTTTGACAGATGGACTTGTTTTCCTTTGAATGGTGGTTGAGCATTCGTGTTTGGATTTCATTATGTTTTACACGAACTAGTGTGAATGATAAATCGATAGTTTTCTTTGAAAAATGATCAGAACAGGTTAATTTTCCATGTTGAACGGTTATGTATTCATATTCATAGTAAATTTTTATAATTTTTATGAAATGATTCCCAAGACGAACCTTTCTGGTCATTGAACTGATCTGCATTTAATTGTATGTCTGGAATGTTTGTAGTTTTTTATGAGTTTCTGTAAAATGTATATTGTTATAAATATATTGTTATTCTTTTTATGTAATCATTGCTTTTGTCAGCGTACATACATTAGACAAGTAGGGTGAGATTTTGATTTTGACGAAAAAAATTTGTGATTAGCAAGGTAACGCCGCCCCTATTATTCTATTATAAGATTCTAAATGGAGGCATCGTAAATAGACACAATTTCAACACTCACACATTTTTATCCACTCAGGACGGCTTGTACAAAAATTACCGTTTTTAAAAATACAACAAACACATATAAGTGATTCGTTCTGATGCTATGATGCTAATGACTAAATCTGCTTCAATCTTCGATCACACGATGATTATGAATACCGATAAGTCGTCGAATGCGCTTGTGATAAGGCATTCCTTAAGCATTCTTCTCAGTTACGGGGTGATTTGAACATCGTCGCTAACATTATGGATGCCAGCACGCTCGGACGTCGGAAGACGTTGATGTTACCAAGCCGGTTATTTATTGGTCACTTTGGTATAGTTTATACTTAAGAAGTCAGTTGAAAAAGCCAAAAAAAAATTTAACCGGCTGCATGTCGACAAATCCTTTGACAAGCCGCAACTCACAGCGGCGGGTCAAATATTTTTTTCGTTTCCACAAACTAAAGCTGTTGTTAAATGAGTTTTTGATTGTTCGCAAATTACCTATATATCCATTTTGGAACATGAGAGTATCGAAAATTGGTAAATTTCCAGACCACCCATGGCTGGTTACTTGTTTTTAGTGGGTTTTCGCCAATAGCCCAAGAGTCCTACATTTGAAATATGAATATATTGAACTAAATCAAAATTCTCAACAAAATAAAATATGAATATAACATTGAACTTGATAAAAATTCTCAACAAAATTAAATAAAAATAAAACATTGAACTGGATAAAAATTATCAGTAGTATAAAGAACTTCAAGATATGTATGTAACAATATGAATAAGATAAGTACTATGGAAATGCCAATAATTCTGAATTTCTGATTGGTAGAGTTACTTTATGTATATATGTTGCGGAACGGCAATATCTTTATCAGAACATATATAATAATTTTTCATAAGTATAGTTTATTTTTACCGCGAAGAAACTGAGCCTCAAGGCGACCAAGATTATGCGTGTCCTTGGACGAGTTTTCGATCACCTATACGCAAAGGTACCAGTAGTACCACTGGGTCTCGCGCTAAGTGCATATGGCTCGCAGCATATATTCGAGTGAAACTCAACCCTTCGCTTTGCCCGCTTCACCCTTAACCCGCTTAATTCGCTTAACCCGCCGTCGCTTCAGGCAAGGAAAGTTTGGATCGCTGGAAGGGCCCTTCAGAAGAAGATCAGCAGGATCACAATAAGGTAAGTCGTCTTGCCGGCTCACGCTGTATTTTTTATTTTTGAAGTGCTCTTTTGGCTCGCTTTGGCTTCACAGTTCAATCCACTGCCGTTCCCCTTCAATATATATACACGTATATTCGAGTTTATACAAGGTAAGTAACTGAACATTGTTCTGATCAAAATCATAGGAAGAAAATAATCAACAAAATAAAATATGAATAACATTGAACCTAATGAAAATTCTCAGTGAATAAATGGTATACTCTGAAATGTTTTGTTTACTACTACTACATATGTCACCTCACTTTCCTAAACTTCACACTTTGGTTATGATAATCACAATATGATTCACAACACACCACTTATTAGTTTTCGTAATTGTTGTACACAAATACTGGATGATATATCACTAGTCACTATCGGACTCTTCATGACTTGAATCTTCATTTACCCTAATGATCACTGGATATTGTCCCGATGGTGGTTGAAACTGACTCGCTAAATTGCGGTGATTGGTTATTTTCACGTACTTTGATTTTAATAGCAGCCCAGACCATCTCAATGGGTTTAAATACTCAGTAATATGGGGGCAAACGTAAGACAGTATGTCCGTGTGCTCCAAAGAGTTCATCAACTACATATTCCTCCGGGAAATTTTGTTTCCTGATCTTTTCCAGTAATTCGTTCTTCAGTTTTTCAGGAGATATTTCCATGCCTTTTTTCTCCATAAATTGAATAATGTCAGCCTTTTTCGTGTTGGTGCTCGGTATTTTTGTTTGTTGACGTGAATGGTATGACGCATTATCCATATCGATGACTGGATTCTCTGGAATATTTGGTATAAGCTGCTGCTCTGCCCAGTTCTCAAATAATATATCCTATCCGTCATATCCTCGTGATAATCGGCAGAGGATTACCTTGATATTTTCTACAGACAACAACAATGCATTGTCAACAAATCCATTTTTATTGCCGTCGGACCACTCACATTACAGTTTTTGCGATCATCTACCCAACCGTATTGAACAATGTCATGAGTGTCGAACCACGTTCCATCTAGATTATAGGTCTATCCGCTTCACAGTATCCCTTTATTATACGTAGCGATATACCGGGTGGCTACGGAAGTATTGCCTACGGAATATCTCAGTTATTGTATGAAGTAGGTTTGTGAAATTTGGAGCGTCGATATAATGACATAAGAGCTAGATTTTGAGCATATTGACATGTCGAAGTTACTTTCTGGTCTGACCGGAAGTAACATCAACTCTCTTATTTTAAATGGAAACCCCATTTTTTTTTCTTTTCGCTTTATTCAGCATTCAATTCCCTTTCTAATGACATATCACAAGTTGGTATCTAACCAGAAACTAGATCAGAAAAAAATTATTATTGAAATTCACCGAGTAGGCCGTGGAAGCAAAATGAAATCCAAAAATTGAAAAGTTGGCTATGGAAACCATACGTCACTTGATAACAGTTGCTACTACTGTGATATTTTATTTTCATTCGTCGGCGTTATAAAAAGCCGCCAAAAAAAATATTGGAAAAATTGGGAAAAAAACAATACTCTGTAAGTCCATAACTTAAATAGGAACATACAACTTTTTCTTGCCTGTACTATTCAGCATAACCATTTCTTTCTAATGATATAATAGAAAGTCATTTTTTGAAATAAAATACCAAAAAATCCAATTATTATTCTTCAAATAACAAAAAAACAGATTTATCGAAAAAAAAATTCAAGATACCAACTTGTGATATGTCATTAGAAAGGGAATTGAATGCTGAATAAAGCGAAAAGAAAAAAAATAGGGTTTCCATTTAAAATAAGAAAGTTGATGTTACTTCCGGTCAGACCGGAAGTTAACTTCGACATGTCAATATGCTCAAATTCTAGCTCTTATGTCATTATATCGACGCTCCAAATTTCACAAACCTACTTCATACAATAACTGAGATATTCCTTAGGCAATACTTCCGTAGCCACCCGGTATATCTATTCTTGCCGATGGTCTACGATGGGTCTTGATTCCATAATCAGCATCCTCTTGTCTAATTTCTTATGACTGAACCCGCAATCTAGTAAAACATTTCGCAACGTACTTAACGATTTGTAATTATAATCCGCGTATTCAATCAACTTATCACTGATATCTGGCAATGTTGGCACCTTATTCTCAATCTATATACAATTCGACAAATTACTTCTTTCCAAGCATAACCAAGCTTCTTTAGTTTTTGTCCCACTCTTTTTCGTTTATATAACTTCATGATCTATATGCTGTGTCTATATATACAACACCTCCGGTTCTAATAACTCTGTATATGGTGAGAATAAATTATTTCAGTTAATTCCTGTATTCTCTTCACAAGTTGGTTTTCTGAAGAATCATTTTTCTCTTCCTTGAGACGCGAATAGACATTCAAAATTACCCTTTGCGTTTGAACGTGTAAGTCTTTATTGGCTAACTCCGCTTGCTCTTCTTCCGAATCACTATCACTCACTTCGTTGACTTCATGAAAAGGCCTCCAGAACACAAAACCACTACGATTGAAATAATGATTTTCTGAATTTCGAGTTGAACCAATGAAGGCAACCTAGCTCGTACCGCACTGCCCAGCGCAGGCTAGAAGATTCTTATCACAGAAGACCGCCCATGCAACTCTGACCAATCAACATTCAGGAGTAACCAATGAGACGCACTAAAATGCAAATTTCGTCAAAACCATGATAGCAATCGAGTCTTATCAAGAGAACCTTTTTTAAAGTAAATGAGTTGCGCAATCTAAATTTCATACTCAAACTCCTTTTCTTCCGTTGACGTAGAATTTTCATAGGTGCAATTATTTAAAAAATCAAGTTCTACGCCTATGTATTATTATCGGACAAAATTTTAACACCATTTTTTTTTGCCACATAAAACTATCAATATACCAAATTTCAGCAAAATCGCATATGCCATTTCAAATTTATATGGGAAAAACGAATTGAGAATTGTAACTTCAAGGCCCTCTGGAGTCCAAACGATGCAACTTTGTACCAAGGTAATTTTACTTAAATCGACTTATTTTGGTCTAAGGAATATGTGGTATGTTTTTGTAAATACCTTTTACAGACACCCTGTATATGAGAAGGTATATATATGCAACGAAGCTCAACAAGGACGAAATTGGTACTTGCACACAAATCCGGTAAATTGAGACTAGTGTTTGATGCTGCAGCAAAACCTCGAGAAATAAGTTCAAACACATCTTCTATCTGGACCCGATCTTCTGAAATCACT